ATAGCTGAAAACCCTAAAAAGGTCTAAAAATTCTGCCGAAAAATCGAGTGAAAATCAATTTTTGATCTCTAAAATTTGCAGAAAAAAAGTCGCTAATTTTTCTTGGAATTTGGCAGTTTTCAGTGTTAAAAATCACGTTTTTCCAAGGCTACAAACTACAAAAATCCTTCTAAGCCTCAGTAATCGCAAAAAAGAGCTACAAAAATCATGATGAAAATCAGTCATTTTGGACCCGAACAATGTCGATTTTCAGCTGATTTTCGACCCAAAAATTCTTTAAAAATGAAAAATCCAAGTCTTCCAACTTCCAGATGTCCGCCTTTTTTAAAGTATTTTTGCATTTCTAGGCCAAAAAATCATTAAAACCGACAAAAATTGACCAAGTTACGACGCCCAGAAGTTTTTACTGAGGCTTATAGACTACAAACTACAAAAATGTCTAAGCCTCAGTAAAATTTCAAAGCGCTGTATCTCGGTTAGTTTTGAAGCTTATTTTGTCGGTTTTCGGCTTAAAATTAAGATAAACTTGTGATTCAAAAATCCCAAAAATCCCCAAAAATCCAAATTTCCCCATTTCCAGATGTCCGCCGATAACAAAGTGACACCTCGAGACACCACAATGACATTCACCTGCTTTGTTCTATTCGATATGTGGAATGCTCTCTCGTGTCGTTCCTCTCGTAAAATGATTTGGCAAATTGGAATTCGTCGGAATCGAATGTTCTGTATTGCCGTGTCGGCTTCGCTGATTTGTCAGCTATTGGTTATCTACTGGTCCCCCCTACAGCATATTTTCCAAACTGAGGCTCTTTCATTGTTTGGTAAGTCGAGAAGATTTTGAAATTTCCAGCATTTCTAGCCAAAAATGACTGTTCTAGCTTCAAAACTAGCCGAGTTACAGAAATTTAGAAGTTTTACTGAGGCTTAGCGAGTTTTTGTAGTTTGTAGTTCATTCGGAACAATTTACCAGAAAATTCTAGCATTTCTAGCCAAAAAAAACCGACGAAAATTGACTGAATTACAGCACGTTGAAGTTTTACTGAGGCTTAGAGACTACAAACTACAAAACATGCTAAGCCTCAGTAAACGTTCAAACTGACGCAACTTGATAAATTTTCTCCCGTTTCGAATGGTTTTTTGGCTAGAAATGCTAGCATTTTGTAGTTTCTCGTTTCCTGGATTTTCTCACAAAACTACAAACTACAAAAAGTTTGCTAAGCCTCAGTAAAACTTTCAAAGCGCTGTACATTGGCTAGTTTTGAAGCTAGAAGGGCCATTTTTGGCTAGAAAATCTCCAAATTTTATCGTATTTACATTTTAAAAGTTATCTGATTTCCAGAATTTTCAATTTTTTTTTCTGATTCGAAAAATCAAATTCCGAAATTCCAATATTTTGGCTAAACATCAATTTTTTCGGTCCTTTTTTGCCAATTTCGGGTTAAAATATGGGAAATTCTAGCATTTCTGAACAAAAAAAGCATCGAAAACCGACAAAAATGGGCCAAGTTACGATGCCCCAGAAGTTTTTACTGAGGCTTAGACGATTTTTGTAGTTTGTAGTCACTTAGCCTCAGTAAAAACTTCAATTTTCGTCTGTTTTTGATGATTTTTTGGCTGGAAATGGTAGAATTTGGCGGAGATTTCGAAATTCGGCAAAAATCCAGGAAATTTGAAATTTCCCAAAAATTTGCAGATCTCATCTTCCTCACCACCATCACATCGACCGTATTCATTTTCAACGAGACGCGAAAATATTTCAATCTGCGCTCGAAATCCCTTAATCACGATCCATTGTCTGTTAGCGGAATTTGATTTTTTTAAAAATTATTTTTTTTTTTTCGTTTTTTTTTTGTAATTTTCCTCTCTTTGAATTGTAGATTTTTATTTATTTAAAATATAGGGAAGCAGTTATTTTCAGCAGCTTTTTTGATTTTTTTTTTCAAAAAATACAATACGGGATCTCTCCTTTTTTTTCAATCATTAATTTATTTTTAGTGATTTTTTTCCAATTTTTAGTGATTTTTCTGTCATCCCAATGTTCACTTCCCCCCATTCAAATCCCCATCAAAATCGATCTAGGACCGCTCTGAAAATGTTTTTTTTTCCTGAAAATTCATTCAAAAAACCATATTTCTTGCTAAATTCCCAAAATTCTATGTGAAATGAAAAAAGATGATGATTTGGAAATTTTCCGCTTTGAAAAATACAAAAAATTCAATTTTATCGAAATTGTGAGGTTTTCGAAATTAAAAAAAAAAACAAAAAATTTTTTATAATTTTTTAATTTTTTTTAAATTTAATATTTTTTCCATTTTTCCTGTTTTTCATTTTTTTTTCTCAAATTTCGCACATTTTTGAGCTTCTCTAGCTTTACAAAAAGTTCCCAAAAATCCCCTTTTCAAAATTTTGTATTCAAAAAAAAGGAAAATTTTGAATTCCGGGGTTTTTTATTTCCTTGTTTTTTAATTAATTTTTTTTCCTGTTTATTTTATTTTATTTTGTTTCAAATTTCTAACATTTTTGAGCTTCTCTAGCTTTTTTGAGCTTTCTCTAGCTTTTCAAAAAGTTCCCAAAAAGTCCCTATTTTAAAACTAAAAATTTTGAAAAAAAGGGGAAAATCTGAAAAGCAGAAGCTAAACGTTTCCATTTTTCCCCCAAAACATTGGGAATAATTCATAGAGGCGGTCCCCCCCCCCCTTATCCTTCTCTTCTTCTCAACTTTTTCAAAACTTGAGAGAGAGAGAGGGAGGGGGAGAGTTCTTATGGGTGTCCCAGCTGGGGGTGGCATTTTGATTTGTCCCACCCACTTTGTGGTGTATTTGTTACATTTTGGGGTTAAGAAGTCTCTCTCTCTCTCTCTCTTCACTAGGAATATATAAGGATGAGCAATGAGAGATTGGATATATAGATAACTGGGGAACATTTATGTAGATACACTTTTGATTTCCAAAGATCGGCTAGGGATCCCTTAATAGCTTTTAAGTGATTTGAATTCGCTAAGAATCAATACCTCTGAACCAGCTAAATTTGATATGATAGAGGAAACTCAAGAACCACAAAATAATATTATTTTGGATACTATAGGTAGTTTATGAACAAACTTTACCAGACCACCCCCGGTACAGGTGGTATGTTTCTTCCCACAGGAAAATTCCCTGCAGGACCAAATTTGATCTACCATCCTAATTGGTTCGCCAACGTTGTTTGCTAAATTTTTGGTAAAACCAAAAAATGGAAGTGTACTTAAAAATACCCAACTGTTAGGATATCTGAAAATGAGCCGAAAACGGGCTTTTTGGATACTGTAGGTAGTCTATAAACAAAGTTACCAGTCTTGGACGGTATTTGGCTTGTAACCTCGTTCATAGAGCACCTACAGCTTCCCAGATAGTATCCTAGGACTTGATTTCTTCTATCAATTTCAATTTAGTTTAGTCCGAATATACAGTGGCGAGAAGTGGTGAGGAGAATTTTTTAGAACAATCATAACTTCGTTCAAAATCGCTTAATCGACTTGAAATTTTGCATGAGAATAGCTGTAAAATCCAAAAACGTAAAAATCGGTTTTTTGAAAATTTCTCACTTTCAGAATTTTCAGAGCAGTTTCAGATGTAACAGTGGTTCGAGAATCCGAAAAAAAACAACTTTTTTCGAGAATTTGTTCTGGCTTTGATTTTAGATGTAACATGATTCTCAGTGTCCAAATATGCACCAAAAAAGTTTTGAAGAATTTTGGAAAGCGGGCTCTCGAGTTATGATGCTCAGAGCACAAAAGGTATGCGTCGGCATTTTTGCCATAACTCAGCTGAAAATGTATTTTTGATGCTCAAAATTTCACAAATTATGTGTTTTGAGTTGTTTATCAATTTGGTGTCCAAAATTTTAC